TCTAATTGAATCACTTTAAATACAAGCCTGTTTCTTTAGACTGTTTTAGCATGAATAGATAGAAATAGGCACATTTAGAGGATGATTCAGACCTTAGATGGGCTGAATCTCTCTCTGAAAATAGTAACTAGTAGGGAGCCTAGTGACTCCTTTCCTGTCAGGATTAAATGCCAGAAGCTAGATCAGCCTTGATGATATTTCATATTTTGTTATCCTAATAATTCAGTTAAATACATAGCTTAGGTTGCTGTGCTTCCCTATTGACAGGTAGACTAATGTGCACATCTCTCTGTATGTATGTATGTGTGCATACAGGGGCCAAAAGTATATATGTGAAATATGAACACATCAGTAGAGATCAGCTTTCTTGTGGTTTGGTGCAGTCACCCAATACCCTGTTTTGTTTTTTAAGAGAAGCTGACTACGCGTGGAGCAGAAAGCTTCTGTTGTGTGTGTTTAGAAATTGTAGTGAAAGAAATGAAATCCAAAGGCATGTTGAAACAACTGGTAGTCTCTGCAAGAAACAATAGCAGCTCTGCTGAGATTTTACAAATATACTTTATATTACATCTTGTTAACATCTTTGCTGTTTATAAATTGTGTTTTTCCATCAGCAAAGACTTTTTCCAAAGTCTTTTTTGCAAAGACTGTTAACAGACTAACTGGCACACAGTTATTTGCCAGCGTTTTTTAAAGGTAATGCCTCTTAAAGTATAGTTTTGTTATTCTGAAAGATAGCTCTGCAGACGTTGGCAAATAAAAAGTCTCCAAGATCTCCATAACTGAAGCATTTTTTAAATTAAGACCCTTGACTGTCTCTTAGACTATTTGAGATAAATCTCATGGGACTAAACATTGTCTACAATATGGACATGTCTCTGAGCCCATCACAGTCTCTATGCTGGATAGAAATGCATTTTCAGTGCATAATTTGCTCTTTTTTAGAGGTCTACATTAGGATTTTTCTTACCATATCACAAATTCCAGCAGGTATAAAAGGAGTTTAGGGTGCCTGTGCAGATGTGATCGTCTGCTCTCACTGAGATGAATCGCATCTTTTTGGTTTCTAGAGAGAGAAATCCCAAATACTGGCATCTGTCTCCAGAGTCTAAGTAGGTCATGGTTTAAAGTGATTTGCATTTTCTTCTCATCTAAGTCATAGCTCATTCTAATTTAATAACACTCCAAAAGATAAGTGACCTGCTATGACATTCAGCACAAAGATTCCTTTTGGACGTTTGTAAAGCAGATTGGTCTCGCTCACTACTTTTCACTAGGTCTCAGTTCAAGAATATATTTAAACACACATTTAATTGCCTTTCTGTTCACCAAAGCCCTTAATCTAAGCACAATCTTAAATGTAAATCAATGAGAGTTAAAAAAAGAGGAATTCAGCTGTTTATAGTAGGAGTTTAGAGTAGGAATATAACAGTGGATTGACGCCGAGCTATTTTACAAATGTGGCAGACCTATTTTACAATCTCTCCTCAGTTGACAGCCCCTTTGGGCTACCACCTACGTGGGAAGTGTGACTGACACTGCCCTGAGCGAGGCTCCTGCAGGCTGGCAGGGACAGCAGTGATGTTCCAGGAGTCCCTTTGCACGTTCATACCTGGAGCCTGCTCTGCTCTGCTCGCAGCAGCTGAGCTGGGACACAGACACCAGGGTGATGCAGAAGCCCTTTCTGCAAGCTGCTTAGGTGTTAAATGCAGTGCAAACACATGCAGCTGGCCATGAGCCTCTGGCAGAGCCACTGGGGAAAACAGTGTTACTCTCATTTGAGAGAGTCTACAGACAACCCCTTGAAGGAAATAAAGTTATTAATAGCTGCCTTCCTTTCTCTTTTCCCAGTCGAAAGTGTGTGACAGGAATGTGCATAAATCTTTGGAAAGTTTTCCTGTGTCAGCTGGTATTTAGATTTGCAGGCTGTGTAGAGTAACTCAATTACTGTTGCAGAGAATCACTGAGATTGTGTTTTCCTTGGTTTTAATTGCTTCTCCATGTTTTCTGCATATAGCAGTGACTCAGCCTGACTTTTCCCTCATCATGTGTTTCAATTTTTTTTGCCTGTGTAACTTTTCTATCTTTTTCTAGACAGCTACTTTGGCTCTATTTAGAGTTCTTTCCATATTTTTTTTTTAAAAAAAAGAACCTTAATATGGGTCATCCTGGACACTGAAGAGGTGATAAGCACAGGTGCCTACATAGGAATCCAAGAAAAACACTGCACGATTAAAGGAAACTTTCAGGGACACTTTTCACAGTGTGTGGACTACTACAACTGTGAACAACCAAACGGGAATATTGGGGGAATTTCTGGAAAACAGATAGAACGTATTTTATTGTTTATTTATCTGACTTACAGTTCTGACTGCAATTGTCTTTTGCCTTTCAGGCTTTCATGCTGCTTTGTGATCTTTTGATGATTTTTAGTCATCAGCTGATGACTGGAGGCCGGGAAGGTCTCCAGCCTTTAGTGTTTAATCCAGATTCAGGCCTCCAGTCAGAACTCCTGAGTTTTGTGATGGACCACGTCTTCATTGACCAAGATGATGAGAACCAGAGCATGGGTATGTTTAGCTTTCATGTTTCCCGCTAAGCTTTTTTAATAGGAGACATAAGAAGAAAGAAGCAAATTGAAGTTTCAGATCAGCTCACAAAAATGCTTTCAAAATTATTCCTTATGTTTTGGGAAGAAAATATGGATATGAAATATTCGATATGACCTGCATGCAATATGACCTTAGCAATCAGTGTTAACATTTCTTATAACTGAATTATATCTCCTACTGTTTGTTGCTGTTTTAGAGTTAAGGTTTTGATGCCTGAAAATCCAAGGCATGTGATAGAGCTATTGCTGCTTCTAAGTCATCTTGTATGAAATATCCACAGATTCTTGTTAAAGAAGCACCTCCAAATATCCTTTGGTTACACTGGTTAAACAAAAAGCACTGAACAAGTCTTCACTGTGGCCTTTCTCAGGTTAAAGACAATAAGTGATTTAATATCCATGTGGATCATGTTAAGTAGGAGTTAGGTCTTCTGCATCTTTGGTCAAAGGTGTGTCATATCCAAAAATTCCTGAATTCTTTAGCACAGGTGGAATGCAAGAATTATCACCTCTCATTTTAGCTTCTCTTGCAATCATCTTTGCTTCATTCTGAAGTGCATTTTTCTAAAAGTTACTCTTTTATTATACTTAAGTAATGTTGCTTTAGAACACAGCAGTTACTTATGAGCATTTTTGTTGTTGCTGCTGCTTTCAGAGGGAGATGAAGAAGATGAAGCTAACAAAATAGAAGCTCTACATAAGAGAAGGAACCTGTTGGCTGCCTTCAGCAAGCTGATAATCTATGACATTGTGGATATGCACGCAGCAGCAGATATCTTCAAACACTACATGAAGGTACTGCTCTGGTGCTCTCCTCCTCCCAGCTGGCCCCAGAAATGGTAGTGCCAGGTCACCTGCTCCTTTTCCTCCAAATGCAGCTCAGTTGTTCAAGGCCGAACAATTTTGAGAGCTTTTTCCACCCTTATCTGATTTGATTTCTGTAATATTTTCTTCTTTTTTTAAATTACACCTGCCACTGAGATGCCTTAAGCTCTGAATGTCCCTTCCAATGTAGTGTCCTGTTAAAGACAACACCAAAAGTTGGTCTCTAAGGAACATGATTCTGTTCCTTAGAATTTGCAGCAAGCAAATGCCTGGGTGAGCAGAGGAAAACAAACTTGTTTGATTTCAACATACCTGTTTCAAATATAATAAATAAATAAAGAAGTTCCTGTTCTCTCACTGGTGGATGCAGGCTATTGAGCAGATTAAATTTGATGCTGAAGCACAGCCTCCCACTCACAGAGAAAATGTAAATTCAGAATTAGTTTTTTAGAAAACTTCTGCCTTTTCAAAACAAGATTACAAATAATCTTTCTATCAAGAATGCTGTGAGAAACTGTACAAGAGATTTGATTTAAAGAGGGTTTTTCCCGCTTTTTTCCTAGTATTACAATGACTATGGGGATATCATTAAGGAAACCTTGAGCAAAACGAGGCAAATTGATAAAATCCAGTGTGCAAAGACACTCATTCTCAGTTTGCAACAGGTAAGAATATCAATTTTTGTTACAAATCTCTCATCAATCTCTCAAGATATTCAGTGCATGTCCTTTCTGGTGCCCATTACAATGAAGACAGAATGAAGAAGCTCTAGTAAGGGGTTATCTTGTGCCTCGATTTGGGCTCTCAGTGTTCACTTCTCTCCACAGTCTTTGTCTCCCTGAGCCGACCCAGGCAGTTTTGGTCACATAAAAACAGAAGAAAGGGAGAAAAACGCCTTCAAGTCAGTTTGATCCAAGTTGGTTCATAGTGTTGGTTTACTGGTGCCTAGTGAACACGAAGAATTAAGATTTTTTTCTCTTTATAACTTGCTCGATGCATCTTCTGTATCATATTTTGTCTAAACACTGATTGTTTTTTATTTTTTCAAACCCTAAGCAAGTTGCTTAAGTCTTCCAACATTATTAAACATGTGTTTTTCCTGAACAATTTGCTTTCAAACAACCATCAATTATTGGCTTTATGAAAAAATCGATCCTTTTCTGCTGGTAGCACACACATGTATGCTTTGCTAAATACCATTTAGTCCCTTGAAATAGGGGCTATATCCATTACACAGAGAAATTGCTTCCATAAATTAGGTATTTTCACATCAGCTGGATCTCACAAAACTCGTTTCAGAGTCTAAGGGAATTTGCTGTTGCAGTCTCAAAGCTAAGATGTTGAAAACCTCAAACCTGATACCTTGGAGTATTTACATGAGCTACTTGCAAAAGCCTAAGTGAGAGGCAGCAGCCAGTATGAATTTGTCAGGGAAAAATCATGTCAAATTCAGCTGTTTTTATAAATTCATTGAGAAAGCCAGGAAAACGTGACCTAAATAGCAGTACCGTAGGAAGATACAGACCTGAATGGAAAATTGCTGTGGTTACCTGAAGGCCATTGCTGTAGGGGAAGGCCACAGGATTCCTCTTCAGGATTTTCAGTCCTGGGTCACAGGAATAGACACTTTGCTTCCCAAGTTCATAGATGATACAGATTTGATAGGTGATGCAGATCTTCCAGAAAACAGAGGGTGAATCTAGAATCATCCTGATGAATTGGGGAAATACTAAGATGGCAGATCAGTAAAGGTAGGTGCAAAATGCTGCATTTAGGACTTACCATCTGCATGAGTATGGGATGGGGGGCAGCTGGCAAACAGCAGTTGACATAGAAGAAAGTTTGACTCGTAACAGGAACGTACGTGAGCTCTGTCATATCGGTGTGAATAAGGTTGTTGTAACAGCCTTAGCCTTAACAGGTTAAGAGGGAAAGTCTGTCTTAAGAAAAGTGTTTTCTAGTTCCCAGCTTTTAACTACTGCATTCTTTCTTTAGCTGTTTAATGAGCTTGTGCAGGAACAAGGTCCCAATTTGGACAGGACGTCTGCCCATGTTAGTGGGATTAAGGAACTGGCCCGCCGGTTTGCCCTTACTTTTGGCTTGGATCAGATCAAGACAAGAGAGGCTGTGGCCACACTACACAAGTGAGTGGTGGTAAATACACTAGATTTTCATATTCTTTCACATTTAAAGTTTTGCTCAGCATACCTTTTGTAAAGGTACATAAGCTAACCGGGTCATGCAATGATTACATTCTGTATAATTTTAATTTATATAGAAAAGGCAATGCCACTGGTATTATATATTTGCATGAATATCTAACAAGTGTGCATAGTACTTTGTACCACACCATTATGGTTCTGTAGGCACCAAAGATTTTATATAAAAAAAAACTACTCCAGAAATATTTTGCAGATTTTTTTAAAGTGGATTGAAAGTCTTTACCTAACCGCTGTGTCGGAAAGTGCAGAAAGATGCTACTAAATTTAGATGATCACTTTCCCATGCCATAAAAACGTTAAAATATTTAAATTTGCTGTCACAGAGTATTAAGACCTCAGCTACAGGTTACTGAATGGCAAAGCCATTGCCTCCATCTGAACAGAACTAGCAAGTTCTTCAGTTCCTTTCAACGCCAGCCATATGGAGAGGCATTAGAGTCCCTGTGTGATAAAGCTCCCAGTAAGTTCATTTGCCACATTGGAACTGTGGTAAATAAGGAAAAGAAGGGAAAATAGATGGATAAAACCACCCGGCCGAGATTCTTGTTTGTTTTGCCAGATGGGTGCTTTTTTGGGAGCCCTTTGTGCTACCGTCAATGCTTTTCCCAAGGACCATGAGGGGAAGTGTGAGCAGCCTGGGTTGGCTTCGCATCTGCTTCTGCCATGAGCACTGCACAGTTGTGCACAGGCCCTCGTGGCTGTCCAGCTCATTTACAGCTGTGTGGAGACCTTCCCTAGCAGGGCTTAGATGGAGGAATCCTCCCCCAGGGGAGCCACAACTCAGCCTGTTCTGCTGATGTTCCTGGGAAAGGGCTGCGGTGCTGACACTGCTGAAAGGCCATATGGACCTTTCTGAGGAATAGAGGAACCCTAGAATCCCACCTCTGCGGAGGGTGCTTACTGCTGGCATGAAGACATCCGAGAGGAGCCAAAGGTTATTCACCAGTAACCTCAGTTCTTTGAAATCTATAATCATTCTGCACTTTCCTTCTCCTCTCTCCCACACTCCTTCCTGGGTTTTCTCCAAACTAGGAATTTGTGACTGGAAGGAAAGTGCTGCCACTTTCCTGTGCCAAGCAGGAGTAAAGGGCATGCACGTGCCCTTCATGGGTAGCATGAAAGTGAGTTCTTTTTCTCTAGTCTCAAATGATAAAGCAAATATAATGCAGAGGTGCATGTAGGAATGTAAGGGTAAGTAAATTCTCTTTTCTGACTCTCAGTGAATTAAGTTGTATCTTTTTATATCTTACATATTTTTCTTACTGGGAGATTGGGAGTCTCATGCAGAAACAAGAAGGAGCCAGTTGGTCATTCCTGGTAAGGCAGTGACTTTCAGCACCTGCTGAGTTCCTCAGTTTGTGAGCACTGAGTTCCTCAGTTTGTGGTTTAGGTCCTTGTAAACAAACATGTGGTTGGCAGCATCTTGTCTTCGTGATTCAGTCCTTACAAATTCCAAGGGTACATTTGATTCTCCCCATATTCAAGAGAGTGTTTTATCACAGTTCAGATTTTGGCAGCATTTAGAGGTGATGGGATGATATTTATATGTATATATTCTTTACCGTAGAGATGGCATAGAGTTTGCCTTCAAATATCAGAATCAAAAAGGACAAGACTATCCACCTCCTAACCTTGCTTTCCTCGAAGTGCTTAGTGAATTTTCTTCGAAACTCTTGCGACAGGACAAAAAGACTGTGTAAGTAAAACCTCTTTTTCTTCTGTGGGTTTTGCTGGGCGGTGTTAATCAGTGTAGTGTGTGCCGAAGCTCCCTGTTTGGAAGTTTTCACAGTCTAATGAGAGTTATAAAAGTTTTCACAGTCTAATGGGAGCCTTTTTACATACATAGGTATTCATTGTTTTGTATATTAAAGCAGTAAAAACAAAAGATAAAGAGATCCGCAGATTAGGTGAGTTTGAGGTGTCACAAAACAGCATTCTTTAAAATTTCCCTGTGGCACTGTCTTTTTTTTCATACTACCAAACAATGAATAAAATGTTAGCCATGTAGGAAATTGCTACAAACCTGTAAACATTGCACTAACATCTGTTTGGGTTAGATGTTTACATAAATTGTGTAAATAAATAAATTGTTTTAATATGCTGAGTTAAGGTGTGCAATGAACAGTTGTCAAGGCTGCTGTTATTGGCACAGTGGGATGGTAAAGCAGGATGAGAGATGTCACTGTTGTTGGTAAGGACAGGGCAGGGCCGTGGGGTCCTGAAAGGCTCAAACAAGAAGCCTGAGTTTGTAAGCGATGACTGCACGTAGAAATGGACTACACTGGAGGCACCGTGGTGAGTTAAGATCTGAACAGAGAGCAAGAAATATTGTTTTAAGAGCAGTGTTTGAACAGACAATTAAGGGGAGCTGTGGGTAGCAAGAGAACTGGCAAAAAGCAAACTGCATTGGTAGACAGAAGTCAGTAGTGAAGATGAGCCACCAGTATCTGAGCTAGCTAGGGATGCACAGAATCAGACCGTTCTTCATTTCTGCATCCTCAAGTTTTGCACCCTGTGTCCTGTCCTCCAGGGCAGGACTTGAGAATACTCTGATGTTATGACTGCCTTCCCAGCTGAACCGTAGCTGCTCGTGTGCCTGGTAGTTTAAGTGTCAGTATCCTAATTCTAATCTAACTGAAGGGAGCTTTTCCTTGCTGTAGTCTTCATCCATTCCACGAATTTCTCCGATGTTGAACAGAGATACTTCTTCCTCTACACAGTTGACTTGATAGCCTAATTTGGCTTGATCCAATGCATGAAATTCAGTATTTCAGGGCATATTACCACAGAGACCTTGTTCTTTAGCCTCCTACCTTACCATTTAAAATTGTTGCTCAGAAGCGTCTTGCTCCCCTCATTCAGTGTGTCCTTTCCTAGGACTGCAGGGACTCCTGCAGCAGGACCCGTTTTTCCTAATCTTAGCAGACTTTATTGAGGTCTTCTCTGTGTGAGCTACTTACTTCAGCTGCACTTGAAGAGCAGTGAAATTGGCCCTTTAGGGCGTGATTTATCTGATCTGCTCTAAATGCTCCTTTAAAACGAGTTCAGACATGTGCGAGGTTCTGCGCTGACAGTGCAGAAAACAGAGGTAACTTCCTTCTGTGCAGAGGCTGGAGGTGCCCCGGGTGCCTTGGGAGCTCCGGGTGCTTCGGCCTCGCGCTCGCCCTGCCCGGGGGGTGGCCGAGCCCCCGCCTGGCTCCTCGTCCCCGGGAAGCAGGAGGTGCTTGACCACCACCTGCTGGAGAGGCCCGGCCGAGGGGATCCCCCACCGCCCGGCCTTGCTCTCCTGCCCGCAGCCACGGGCTCCCTGGGCAGAAGTGCCCCGGTTGACTCCTCGGCACAGCGGCCTGTCGTCTGGAGTCCACCGGCCTGGCTCCCCTGCTTTAAAAATAGGAATTTTCTAGTTATTATGACTGAATATGTCAGTGCAAAGCCCCTCTCTTGTCGCAGTTACTGTAGGAAGCACCACTCTGTTGGGCTTCTGTTTCCTTTCTGCTTTGCTGCTGTTTCTTTATTCAAAGGGAAAAATGAGACATTTTCAGTTCTGGGGCAGGGCAGCAGCATTGATTTCATTTTGATTTCCTGTCCTGTTCTGTTTCCTGTTCCTGTCTGACTTCTCAGTTTATGATTAACCTCCAAAATTGCCGATAGTCATTGACAAATGTTTTTAAATCTATGGCTTTATTTTAAATGATGCATTTAGGGTGCCAAGCTCACGCTTACTAGGAGGAGTTTTACACTAACCAAGTTGTAAATGCACAGGACAGACACAGGCAGGGAAGTCCAGAGGAATTGGTCTGAGACGGTAGAGGTGAATTGTCCTTTGGAGACACCAATTTTGCTTGGATAGCAACAACCCTTGTAATTAGTGGAGGTCCAAAGTCAGATGAGATGGAGAGCGGGGTTGTTACTTTCAGAAGTTTGTAGTTTCCCAGTTGAAGCTGGTAGGAATTGCCAGTATTCAGTTCCTCTAAAATGTCAAGCAGAAATTGTCTCACATTTGGCATCTAGTTGTTAGGGAGGTCCCTGATTGTTTTTTTCTTTCTTGGAATACTCTGCTCCCTGTGGTTTTAGAAATAGCAACCTGGATTGCAGGAATATGCCTTAATTTCCAAGGCTCTTGTGCAGATAAATTCTCTAAATTCCTTCTGCACTCAGAAGGTGTGATGTGATGTTGAACACCAGTGGAGAAAGAGTAATTTCTCATTCAGTGCAAAGTTTGGATGTTGCTCAGTATATACATGAAAAGACTGATCGAGAAGAAAGAAGCAGGCACAATGTTGAGTGAAGCAGTTGCCAGTAAAGCTCCTGTTCCCTGAGCAAAGTCATCCTGCTGCTGAATCAAAACAAAATCCCATTGAAAAACTGAATGTGACTGTTACCCAGACAAACATAGTGCAGCTCCTTATCCGACTGTCCTACCTGGACTGTGTGAGGAGTTGGAGCCTCCCTGTAGTTAGCAGGGCGATGGGGAGGACAGGGGTCGTTTCCATGGGGAGTTGGTGGTTTTGACTCCCCCAGATGACAACACGACAGTGTGAGGTTGAAGGAGATCCACGAGTAGAGGCTGAAAGGAGCATCAGAAATCCTGCCGGGGTGTTCTCAGCTGTCTGCTGAACTTCTGGACACTCCGCTTTGATGCTTGAAGAATGTTCACTGGAATCACTTTTATGTAGCTTCTCATACTCATTTTGAGGATAATCTCTGACAGAATAATCAAATAACCAGTAAAAAAAGAAAAATGACTCAAATGCTCTCTAGATCTTATGCAAGAAGGAGATTGTTTGTTTTCTCCCATAAATTAACAAGTGTGCGTTGGACTTCTCCATGGCAATCAAACAGATTTCCAAACTTTTCACTGAAAAATAGCATAAACCATTCTCTTGTTCCAAAAGGGCAAAGAATGCCCTACCTTTCCATTCCAGTTCAGTCCGTTTACATGGTAGTAATACACAGAAGTGGCTTCCTTGGAATGCAGAACAGGAAAGGAATTCAAGCAGAGTGTGGTGGGAGCAGCTGCAGACCAATGTGGGAGGAGGACGCTGAGCGAGAGGACAGTTTGTATCGTTTAACTGTGAACAACCTTCACTGTTGCTGTTAACTGTGTTACTTAGCTCTGGAGGAATGACAGGTATTCAGCCAGAGATATGATGCCTTATCAACATACGTTATAAAATTAAAATAAGGCAACGCTGTGTGGGATTTCTTTTAAGCTCTTGATGATATGAAGAGGCTCTGCAGAGTAATGAAAGAGGAAACAACGTGCTGTGAACTTCTATTCTCGTTGTCTTCTGTTTTCAGTCACACCTACCTGGAGAAGTTTCTGACAGAGCAGATGATGGAAAGAAGAGAAGATGTTTGGCTACCACTTATTTCCTACCGAAACTCCCTGGTTACGGGTGGCGAGGATGACAGAATGTCTGTTAACAGCGGAAGCAGTAGCAGCAAATCCTCCTCAGTGAGAAATAAGAAGGGACGACCACCCCTCCACAAAAAGAGAGTGGAAGGTTTGTATGGGCTTACATTGTCTAGCAAAGGTGTTTCTCCTGGTCAGTAGGACTCATTGCTTCCTTTCTTTGGAGGCTTATCAATCAGTGCTGCAAGATAAGGTGTATTCTGTATGTGGTGAAAACAAGACATGTCTGCTCTGCAAACACCTGTGAAACTTGAACACTTCCTTATGAAAAGTAACAGGGCGAGTCCCCGTTTTTGTGTATATACATGGAGACTTGCAGATTCAGAGCTATTTAAAGCTGTTGTTATTGGAGAACACTAAAAAGTCACATTCACATTTTTACATTCAAAATAGTGTTGCTATGCAGTGTTTGTATTCGCTATTTCTGTGACTTCAGGAGTGTTTATCAAGAATTTGGCATCTGTACCTGGTTAATCTGTATGAAATTGCAGGAAGTAGTGCATTTTTATCTGAATATATGCAAGACACCTGGCAACTCAGGCAAGGTTGCAATACAGTATTTCTTTGTAATGGTTATTCTTGTTGTTTCTTAAGTATTTCGTCTTTAAAGTACTACTGTTGTGAGGAAAAACTGGCAGTTGAACAAAAAGTCTTTGGCGATGTAATCCAATTTTTTGTAAGTTAACAAAGGGCCAAAAGCTAACTTAGGGGTGAAAAGTTGATCATCTTGTGTGTTTATCTAGTTGATCTCTTAAATTCACACTTATTTTATAAGATATGTGAGTTTGCAGAAAGGGCTGCCACTGAAATAAACTGTACTGAAGTGTATTAATAGATGGAAGGCCTGATTAGTAGTGGGAGGTGTTCATTCAGGACGTCGACTATATAAATTCTGAACAGCAGTAATACTGCACTGCATAAATACACTGAATTAGCAGAACTGTCAGTAATTACCCGTATTTTAAAATATTTTTTTCCTAGATGAGAGTCTTGAAGGCTCGTGGCTGAACAGGACTGAAAACATCCATACTCCAGGGACACTGCAAGCACCACAGCTCACCTCAACTGTCTTGAGAGAGAACACTAGGCAAATGGGCGAGCAGATCCAGGAGCACGAGTCGGAGCAGGGGTCGGAACAAGATTTTTTACATAAGTAAGTGCTGGAATGTCAGTGTCGGAGTAAGCCAGACCAAGGAGCCGATCATTAGTTACACAGGTGGTCTGTGGCTCCTTATGTGCAGTGTTTATGTGCAAAAAACACAGCTAGAAAGGCCTTTTCTTGTACCTTAGCCACACTTTTTTTTTTTTTAATTCCCAGGATAAATACATCATAATGGAATCATGGTAGAAATTCCTGAAAGTTACAATTATCTCATAGGTCAACCATATAATTATGGTTAAATCTTCCTAGTGTTTATGGCCCCCCAGTGGATTGAACTGTTGCTCTAAAGATCTGTTCTCTTCTCCCTCCCTCTTTTCTCTCTTTTCTTTTTCTCTGCCCTATGTCATTGTACAGTTAAGGTTTTTCAGATATCTTAACCAATTTCTCATAAGTTAACTCCTTAGTCTCATTCCAGATGCTGAGTTAATAATTGTTGCTTTTGGGGTAATTACCCACAGGCAGTTTGTTTTGCCCTAAATTGCATGTGCTTTTGATCATTCATCTCCATTTTATTAGCTCAGTTTAAACCCACTCGGGACAAAAGGAGTTGGTTCTTATTTGTCAGTAATTCACTTAATAACAAAGATAAGTCTTCAGAAAATGTGATTATGTGCTATTTCTATTTAAGATACAGAATAACAGTGTTGTTTTGTAGAGTATTTTGGTAACTTTTACAGACAGATTTACTGATCTGGCTTTCTGTATTAAAAAAAAAAAAGGCAGAGTACACCAGCCAGATGAATCAGGTTTCTACCAGCGCGGTATAGTACAAAATAGCCAGGTTATGTGTCTTGGGTTTCCCCAAGCTTTCTGCATAAGAAAGTAGAAATGTTCTCCAGTCGCAGCACCACAATGTGCTGCTAAGGTTTACCACTTTGTGACCACAGGCTTGCCCGAAGTCTGAGCAACTTCTGAAAAATTGTACCCTCTCAGGAGGGTGACATGTTCTTTGCCTTGCACAGACATCAGAAGTGCAACAGATGCAGTCCATGACTCAATGCTCCCTACAAGAGAGAACCTGCATCCCAGCTGGCTCCAAACACCCATTAATTTCTGTAGCCCGTAGCATGTATCTGTCTTTCCATAAACACGTCCTGCCCCGTGGGCTCAGCCCAGGCACTGCCAGCAGGGGTTGCTCTGCTCCCCGTGTTTTCCCACCGCGTGTGTGAACCACAAGGCAAGCCTGGGCTTGGACTGCTTCACCCGTGCAGTTCAGTCTGGAAGATCATCCCTGTTGACCACATATGAAGCGCAGCTGGGATTGAGCCCCAGCTCATGCCAGGCTCAAAGCGCCTTTGCTCATTACACCTCTAGTGTAGGTGGGAGATTGGGTTCATGGCTCTTACTCTCTTACTGGGACCAAGGATTTGCCTCCGATTTTCCTGCCTCCACAGAAGTTGCTGTAACCCCTAGGTTATGGGGAGGACTCTTGGTTTCTCCTTGAAGTTTTTCTAGTCTGCATTAAAAACAAAAGAAACTCCTGAAGCAGAGCCTTGGTCTTGACCCTCTCATCTCACCTGAATGTGCCAACCACTAAGCCAAATCTTTCTCTCTCTGAACGTTTAAGCAGCTACAGAAAGTGGGAGAGTTTCCATTCCTGATGCATTACTCCTGATGAGTAGGCACTGCCTTTAAGATCCGGGTGAACTGGGTTCCCATCCTTTGTGTAACCAGATTCCTCTCCCTTCTAGTCCTGGGTTCAAACCTGTCTCTGCTATTTTAGATGAAAGCTGCAAGCACAGAGATACTGAGCAAAGGCAGCATCATTCTCCTCCCTGTTGGATTCCCAGTACAATACACCGACAGTGGAGAATCATGTGTTTTCAGCCTAGAATTAACGTTCTTCCACACATTTCCTGCAGGCTGAGCTCCCCAGTTATTATTCTGTGTCGTATGAACACCAAAATAACTTGCCCTCACACCTTGTATGCACTGAGCCCACAGTCCCAAGGATCCTGAGTGTCCTACAGGAAGGCACTTAGAACTAGAGGCTCAGTTGTGTACAGGTATCAACTGCAGCCATTGGGTACTGCTGAAATGCGGGTCAAAAATAAATATAAAACAGTCAGTTACTGAATAAAAAGGATTATTCATGTGCAGGAGAGTATTTTGGTTTGGTTTGGTTTCACATCAGTATGTTCGCCCCATTTTACTGCATGTCTTGCTAGGGTCCAAGATACCTAAGGAGAATAAAACCCAGCATTGCTTTTGAAGATCTGCACTTATTTTAGTGTCATTTCTGTTCGTACTGCAAAATACAAATCACATCCTAATGCATTGCTGTCTGCTGTTGGATTTAGGGGTTACTGAAAGTCTAGCCTTTCAGTTATGGATATGGTACTGGACACTAACATTTGAGGATTGTGTTTTTAAAAGCAATTTGTTTTTCCACTTGATGTGACATTTTCATGTCTTTTAAAATGTGTGTCAGTTATGAATTTGGATCTGTTCTTTTTCATATTTTGCCTGAACTGAGGCAGTGAAGTAGAATTTAGTAAAATGGATTTTTTAAAGTGCTGCCACTGCAGATGCATGCCACGTTAATGACCAGTAATGTTAGCATGTTGTGTAGCCATTTTCATGACAACACTTCATTTTTTGTGCACATGCAGTGAGAGGAGACAAGTTGCAGAAGGGAACCCAGAAGACGTGTGCAATGACGGATGTGATTTAAATAGTTCTTTAATCTGAAGCATGCCCAGACACAAAACTTCATGAGCTACTGTCTAAACGTAGCCAACTCAACACTGTCAGTGTTCTCAGTCATAATGCTGCTTTCTGTTTGTTAGTCCCCAGATGCAGATATCTTGGTTGGGCCAACAGAAGCTAGAAGATTTAAATCGAAAGGACAGGACAGGAATGAACTACATGAAAGGGAGAACTGGTGTAAGGCACGCAGTGTAAGTGTCCAGAGCATCCTCCTCTCTAGATCAGAATTGTTTTAGTTGACAACACCTTGTTTTAAATTACATTTTGAGGGGCGGGCGGGTAATTGATTTCTGTGACATTTAGCTCCTCTTACTATAGGCAGAGTAACGGCTTTTTAATGTTGGGATGGACCCAGGGCCGTGTGGGCCTTTACCCAATGGTCTGTCTCCAGCAGTGACCATAAGCCGGTGCCTAATGAACAGGGCAGATATATATGGTACATTTCCTGTAGTCCTTCCAAGTTTTCATTTCAGGGGATTTCCTTGAAGCCCTGTGATTTGTCTGCTAAGTAATTCGCAGTGAATTTATCTTTCAAGCAGTTGCCCAGTCTGCCCATGCCCCCCTGTGAGCTTCCTTCAGCCACAGCACCCTTTGCCAAGGCCAGCTCCTGGGCAGCTGTGGAGGGACCCGTGGGTGGAGGCTGAGGGGTTGTTCCTCGACGTGCTTTGTGCTCTGGTGCTGATCCAACCAAGCCTTTCAGCACATAAATACTTTTCAGGCCTGGGGTTCAAGTCTGTAGTGAGTGTAGTGTTAACAGTGTTAGAAATTGGTCTTCAAGTCATTGGTGGATCCCTAGGGAATTCCCAGCAACCTTGGCCAATGGTGTGTGACCCCTCTGCTTGTTAAAAGGCAAGCACATGCAGTTGGGTTATCACCCTTTTCTTGGTAGGGACAGATTTAACTATTTCATGATACTACACTGGACTTCCTGCTTCACCCTCTCCAAATGGTAGGTTTGTTTTAACATGAGATTTTTTATTCCACTTAGTATTAGAGAAAATATATTGTGCCAAGCTTAGAGTTTTATGTGAAGAAGCAAAGGGATAGTATTTGTGTTCTGTTTTTAATGACAAAGCTCAAGGTTGGGAGATTCAAATGCCTGGATTATGACTTTTATTCCTCTATTTAATCAGACGAGGTCTAATGGAAGATGACGCTGAGCCCATCTTTGAAGATGTCATGATGTCCTCACGAGGTCAGCTAGAGGATATGAATGAAGAATTTGAGGACACAATGGTCATTGATCTGGTCAGTAGATCTCAATAATGAAAAAGTTAAAATGGAGAATAGTTTAAAAGGAATTTGTGAACAAAAATATCCGAAGTTACAAGCCTGACCTTCTTTTGAATGTCAGAGAGTGGAAATGGTTGGAACAGAAGCTCTCTAGATCCTCCGGGACTTCACGCCCAAGTGATTTCCTTTCCATAGGAACACAAGCATTGCTCGGGCCTCTTCTTAATGCTCTGGGCTCAGGCAGTCACACGTAGCTGATGCCTGAAGCACCGCGATGCACCTGGAGGACGTTAGGGTATGGTGTAGAGCATGCAGGGGTATCGTGCAGCCCTCGCCGGTGCGCGCTAAGGGGCTGCTCTCACCATCAGACAAGCGCCTTGTCCAGGCAAGGGTAGGAGCCCTCGTGGGGACAGAGGTGAGAGCAGCTCATTGTATTGATAGAGTGTCACATGAAGGTGCATCCTCACCATGAGGGGAGTACAGATGGACTCTGTAAAATGCAGTTACATGTTTGCTTCAGGTTGTAGTTAGATATTTTGAAGAGTCTGGACACAGTAGCAGCTCAAGTGTTGTTTCCTTCCCTGTGCCAGGGCTGCAGCCCTGGCCCACTGCTCCGTTGCTGGCACGGCTCTTTGTGCAGTCTCACTGATGCAGCCAAGTTGCTGCTGGTTTCTCCTGGAGTTGCAGGGTTTAATCAAGGGCTGGTCCAGGTTCAGCCACACAGAGCTGGCCGGGAAGGAGAGCAGGCAGTTCTTGGTCCTGCTCCCAAACAGGCCGTCTCCATGCAAAGGTGCTCAGGAAAGGAGGACGTAGCCCTAGAGGCCCCTGCATCCTTGCGCTGTACTAAAATCACTGACTCGTCTTTCTAGCCACCTTCAAGGAACCGACGAGAACGGGCTGAACTGAGGCCAGACTTCTTCGACTCCGCAGCGATCATCGAGGATGATTCAGTAAGACTTTGCTAGCCCTGCTTGCTCTTTATCTGAGCTTTTTGCCTGTTCTTATTACACCTGATTAATTGCTGTCTTTCACGTCGTTTTTCTAGGGATTTGGAATGCCTATGTTCTGAAGTCTGGTGAAGACATTTTACAAATTTGGAACTCTATTGTTTAGAGCTAGAGGCCTATATACTGTGATAGCTTGTATGAAAACCACATTTTTGATGTGATACGGTTTGATTTTTATCCAAATGATTAAGGTCAATCCCTTTTTGTAGTGCGAGAAAGAAGAGGAACTTCTTAATGACACAAAGGAATGTTGGCCAATGCCGCCACCTCAGAAAGGCTGACCTAAAAAATCATTTGTATCCCTGTTCTTGACTGTCATAATACAGATTTTTTTTTCCTGGATGAGAAGGAAGTTTTAAATTGTTAAGACAGCTGTCAAAATAAACACTGTTCTACATACGTTTTCTGAAAACAACATTGAGTGAAAACAGAACTTTTTAACTTTATTTTTCTGCTGTACAATTTAAAACAGTTTTAACATTTGCCTTTTTATGTTTTAAAAGCTAGCCATTTTTATTAAACCTATGCCTATCAGCCATTGACTAGCAATGATGCTATAAGCAGGTCATTCTGGCTACAGAAAAGTGTTTTTGAACACACTGGATTTGATTAACATTATGGTACGCTTATATCCTCTCATAGGCATCAAGAACACTCTTATAGAAGAGGTTAGAATTCTAATGACGTGCATCTCTGCCAAAAAATTTCAGATTCTGATATGATAAACCCAGATTTTATACTCTTGAGAAGATTTATTTTTATTTATAATGGGACATAAAGTAAGAGATGTCCATGAAGCCACTTTTCCAACAGATGCTGTGTAACATTCATTTTATATAGCACATGGGGACACAAAAACTTTCTATTGGTACTTGCTCTGTGCATTTTTAGCAACTTATACCAGCAAATAAAGTATTCTCAGTAAAACACACAAATGGTTCTCAAGTAATCACTTTGCTGTTTTTACTACCTACTTCAAGCCCTGCCAACCCAAGGTACATAAACAGCAACTTTCCTATTAAACAAATAATTCAAGGGTGGGGGAAAGGAATCACTTTAGCATACTAAAAGCAATTTTAACTGTACCATAAAAAAGTCTACTTTCCATGCCGTAAATACCCTTTTGCGCTATTTTTGTAAATTAATTTTGCCAGTTAGAAGTACTGTATGTGCTGCATAGAAATTTGTGCTTAGATGGTGAAGTTCTTAAGCTTACAATGGAATACAGCTACATTTTCAGTGTTAACTGTGCATATTAAGAGTAATTCTTTGGAAAAAAAAAACTATGATTTTTCAAAAAAGCAAAAAACATCAAAAAAACAGAAAACCCAAAACATTCTCAGCTAATTCACTGTAATAAGAGGTTTTTTTTCAATGTCTTCAATAATTTGAAATTTCATTCTGCCTCAATTTTATGACTCTGCTTAGTAGCTGCTCGCCTGACATCAGAGGCGATGGCCACCCATGACTTGCACTGACTCTAGTATCGTGAAGAAATCAGCCCCAAAATGTTAATCTTCCTTTCTGCATTCTAATATTAGCATTTGAGATACAAAGCAGATTGACCCACTTGGAGCACAGCAGTTTTAGAGGTGCTTTTTTAGCAACTGCAAAATAATCATGGAGCTTTCTTTTTTTTTTTTTTTCCCTTTTACAAGCTTATTTAAAAACAAAACAACATTAATACCCAGTACTTGCTGGGAGGGAAGAGAATCCAATTTTATAAACAGATCAGCATTTCACTGAGCTGAGGTTTGTTTCTTACCTGTGCAGTTCTCAGACAGACACGGTTGCCAAAAATGTTTGACGAGATAATTCAGCCATTCCTTCGTTGTTGTTGGTTGGGGGAGGCAAAAAGCCTGAAAAGTAGCTGGAACGTTGCTTTGTAACCCCTTCCCTTGGGTGCCCCTCACAGGGATGAGGGGTGGTTAGGAATGGCTGCATTAAACTGTCAGTATGCTAATTCTGTGAGCATAGTAGCATCATAAATGCTGCCCAGTTTGAGTCATAGTCTCAGACAAACTTTGTGCTTCACAGTCCTCTGTGTGGAAAACTGATTCCTAATTTAACATTGTAGAATACTGTATAACAAACATTTATTATCACGGTACCTGCAATGGGTTTCCAGTTCAGTTTGCAGTCAATAGGTTTTTGTATTATGAGTGTCTCCTTGATTGGATTTGCTAGTAATTCTGTAAATTGTACATTTACAATATGAGGTTTTTTTTTTTTTCCTTTTGTACAATTTAAAACTGATGCTTCACCTTTCATTTAATAAACTATTCAAAATCATGAGTATGATGAGCACCCTCTTCACTATAACATCTTTTTAAATTACTGGTTTGGGCCATCACATCTTATCATCCCATGCAGTAGGATCCAAAAGACACAGTAGTTCTCAGTCAATCTCTTCACAAGATTCCTTACAGTTCTCACACATTCAGCCTTAGAGCAAAGGGAAAAACATATCTGTTCTTTTTTTTCCTGTCCCACCCCACCACTGCAGCGTGGTTTTGGTTTTGCTTGGCCTGGGGTATTTTATTGTGAGCTTATGGTAAACCTGAAGTCCTAACACAAAGTGCGAGATTTGCATTTTTGGGAAGTTGCAGTGTTCTTTCTTGTACTGTAAAGCCTATAATTGTTTTAATTGTCCCATGTTTGGGGAAAAAAAAAAATCACTCTTTGGTCATGGAAGTCATGAGTGCTCTGGACCACCTAGGCAGAGTTTAAAGTTGGTAAAAGTTTGGATGGTCTAACACACCAGCTGGACTAAATCAAGTTTCACACCAAAGCTTCAACAAACTAAACATCCTTTTGCTGTTCCTCTGAGAGGAACTACTTTTTGACCAACCCATGAATTGTCACCTCTGAAGCACTAGAGAAAAATTAGTTATCATCTAGGCCTGCTTCCTAAAGAAGGGCATCTGATCCAGAAAAAGCAACCAGATCCAGCAGGTGAGGAACTGGGAGAGGAGTCAAGGGCTGGCCTGCACCCTAGGAGCACTCCTGGGACACGGAGCCATCTCCAGCGTTTGTAAGTTACGCTCATCTCCTAATGCAAAAGAGAACACAAGAAGGAGCTTCTGATTCTAAGTTTAGGTAGTACTGTCTGTTGAAATGATTTTTATTCTAATTCTATTGTTTCTGCAGGTGAGTGGCATTCAAAAAGAGCCTGACTCGTGTGGCCAGAGCAGCCTTCCAGCGTGTTTCCTCGGGGCAGCGAGTGCAGGCATCTGTGCTCAAAATGCAACCAGGAACATTCCTGCACCTACCTTAAAATGGGTTTGCAGCCAGACTGTAACCTGAGTCCATTGTAGCTATCCTAGAAACCTGTGATGCTGCGACTCAGATTTGAAAGACGCCTCTTGTACTGCTTTACTGATGATTCTCAGTTGTTTCTTTCTTCTTCTTTTTGTGGGTAGTGCCCAGGCTCTGTGGCCACACTCACTAGTGCTCCAGCTGCAGCTACCTGGGAAGACGGGTCACCTGGAAGCCTCCACCTTCTCTTCTGCTTCAGGCATGCTTTGGAGTGGACAGAAGCAGCTGTGGTACACAGGTATAGTAGTTCTCTGTCTTATAACACAGTGTCATTAATTACTGAAGTACTCAGATCATCACAGGACTTCACTTGTTTGGTAGTTTTTTGCAGCTAGTGCTAAATGTGCTGGTAGCCCTGACTCTCTGGCTTCTCAGGCTGTAGTTATACTGAAGCTTGTAATGTGCACAGGGACCAGAGCTAATCAGTGGTAACATCTACTGTAATTGCTCCTTGCAAGTCTGGCAAAGAATCATGGAAAAAAATAGGCTGGAAAGGATCTCTGGTGTTTCTGTTTTGATCCCTCTGCTGAAAGGTGGGGCTGCATCCCAAGTTCCTTGGGTGTACCACAGTCAGGGAGAAGAACTTTCACATCGCATCCAAACTTTATTCTGTGTTGGGCTCATTGTAGGCTGGGCTCAGTGTTCTCTTAGACCTCCTGCACCTGCAGCCCGGATACCTAGATACCAACCTGAGAGCCAGAGTGGCTTGAAACTTCCTGTAGAAGTTGTAACTGAGAAGAGCTAAGCAGAACAACAGAACAGATTAGTGTGAGACCTGCAAAGCTCAGCTCAAAGTACACCAAGGATTCAAGACCAACATTTTTTCATGGTGAGGCTGTGGTCCTGCAGTGCAGGACATGGAGCTGGGCTCCAAAGATGGGTCTGGGGGTAGATTTTAGCTCACAAAGGTCTGACCCCCTTTAGGGGTGAGAAGTCACTGCATGTCTGTGTGAGCCACCTTCCAGGCCAAAGGAGCATTTCAACTTGAGCAATCAGTGCAGCAGGCATTGCCAGTTGTGTTGTTTATAAAGATGAACTGATAGGATCCCAGATTAAATGAAATAAATGTATTATGATTTATTGATGATCATTAGCAAAATATTTGAAATGAAAGAAATATTTCTAGCACGAAGTAGAAATGCCACTGAAGCAGAGAGTATTCAGAGCACTGCCGCGTCTGGTGGCGCGGCCAGGCTGCTTCTCCCCCTCAGAGCGGGATGTTGGCGTGTTTCTTCCAGGGAGTGGACTGTGCTTTGCTCGCCAGCACATCTAGGTCCTGGCAGATGCGCTTGCGGGTGGTCGAAGGTTGGATGATATCATCAACAAACCCTGTAGAAGAAGCAACCACACAGAAAGAGTTTGTCTCTCAGCCCTCTGTATTCAGGCTGGGATTGCAGTTTGAAAACCAACAATACAATACTCTGAATGCAGTTCACAAGTGCTGAGTCAGCTTGAGGAAAGCATTTAAAATAGCAAGAGAGAAATATTGCTATTTCAATAGTTTTTAAATTAGGGACATTTGGGGTTTTTTTAAACAAAGGCAAGTTAAAAAGCAAAGAAAGTTGGAAAGGACTTTACTCCCCAAGTACCGTACATGCTACTGCGAAGTTTTAACCATACTGGCTTTCCAATCTATTACTTTGATTTCAAGGATCCCTCTGGGAAGCAACAACTCCAAACCTTTAACATTGCATTTGCAGGAATCTGTTTTATTCTTTTTCAAAGAGCAGTAATGGTCTACTGCAGAACTGGAAGGAACAACACTGGAGCTATCCGCTGTGGTGGAAAATAGCTTGACCAAGTCTTCCTAGCTCTGTGGCACTATTACAAGGATTCAGATGAAATAGTATGAAAACCAGCAATACAATAAGCCATCATAACTGGAAATGAGTGAAGAGTGGATTATGAATTCTGCAGAACTGCTTTTGGGAACATAATTATATTTTAAAATTACAAATAAAAACCCTTGGAAAACAGTGGAAGTGATCACTCCATGCAGTCCTGTGGAGCATCACTGAACTGAAACGGACTCTGACCCTTTCTGAAGGTCACTGCTCTGCACCTGGAACTGTCAAGAAGACTGACAAAGCAACTTTAAGGAAAGGTGTGACTTCTGAGAAGCTTCCACTGGCTGCAAAAGTTGAAAATATGCTTTTCAGTGAATTCCCTATATCTCTTGCCATCTGAAGCATTTCACAGTTGTTACATGTCTAGCTATATTTTCCTTCAAGTGCACAAGCTAGGGTAAAATGTAACTCGCTAAGTGTTGCACTGAAATACCCTAATCACTAGCAAAATATATCCTTGGCAGTTACAAATTTACCTGTGTGCAATGGCAAACTCACAAACCGTACCTCTCATGGCTGCAGGAAAGGGGTTTGCAAACTTATCCACATATTCTGCTTCTGCATCCATCTGTTTTCCTCTGAAAATGATTTGGACAGCACCCTAGAAAGACAAAACACAACTGAAAGGTGAGTGATAGAGGAAAGCTATCCAATTTGCCTGCTCCCTCCCACCACATTGTAAAAACATGTTCATTCAGGTAGGTTCCTTCAGAGGAACCTTCATTTTGCTAGGCTTCTTCTGTGGTGCTCTAGAGACACTGGCTGCACAGCAAGGTGAGAATAAGTCTGGGTTTACCTTTGCACCCATCACTGCCACCTCTGCAGTAGGCCAGGCATAATTTGCGTCCCCTCGCAAATGCTTTGAGCTCATCACGTCATAGGCACCCCCATAGGCCTGAAACAAAAAACAGGATTGATGGAGAGTGATGT